CGGGGGGGGGGGGGGGGCGTACTCTTATGTTTTGCATGCCTTAGCGGTTAGACCATTGACCACGCGTTCTCGAGAGGGCGGAGCATTGTTCCCACAGGACCGATCACCGATGGCCAATCGTTCCTTCCTACTCTGCCAAAGGTGGCTCAAATATGTCTTCCCTAGTCTGTCTTTCCTAACGATATCCCTTCCCGCCTTTTCAAACCACTTCCTACTCCCCAGTACAGCTTCCGTCCTCTCCTCTCTATTCCATGCCTCAAACACCTCCCTGTACGTCCCTTGTATTTTTCCCAGCTCAGTCATGTACACTTCCCTCTCCTCTTCGTACCACGGACATTCCGCGACTACATGAACACGGTCTTCGCATTCGAAGCCGCAATCACATTTGAACTTGTCGTCTTCGTCGTCTACCGTCCTATGTCTTCGTCGACGTTCTCGAAGGCCTATGTCCCCGGTCCTGAATTTGACCTTAAGCTTTGTCCCTGCATCCATTGGTCCATGTAGGTAATCCTTGAACCCTATTCCTTCTTTCAACATTCCGTACACTTCTAGACCCTCCTTATCCTTGGTTCCTTTCCTTAGATTATGTTCTTCTCTCTCGGCACAAGCAACAGATATCTTCTCCTTGAACCCCTGTAGACCCTCCGTTTCCAGCGTTTCATCTTCGTCGATGTCTAACCCCTTCCATACGTCCTCTACAACCTTGACCCATTCCGTGGGTTGCCTACCCTCTTTTAGTTTGCCCACTTCGCCTCCCATACTATTCTCGGCAACCTCTCCTCTCCCATCCCGCACATGCGATACTGCCATGTCAGTTTTCTTGCGTCTCTTCCCGACCGTAGGGATTGGATCCCCAATTCTGCCCTTACGGCTGCATTACTTGTGCGCTTGGAGCATCCTAGGATGATTTTCGCTGCTTTCATCTGCGCCGCCTCGAGTTCTTTCACTACCTTCTTATTTCCTTCCCATACTTCTCCGGCGTACTCTAGCGGCGGTACGATTGCACTCTTCAAAACCGCCAATTTGATGCGTGTATCGAGGTGCCGGTTTGCGAGTGTGTGGGGGGGTCCTTATCTGCTGTTGTTTCGCTCTGGGCATATTTTTTAAGAACCAGTCCCATTTACCAGTAGCGTTCGTCGTGTGTGTGCAAGTCCTTGCTCGACGGAGATCGGACTCTTTTCTGAGCAGTAAAATACGTGCACAGCGAAGTACCTCTACTTTAGTTTTCTTGTGGGCGATGAACCTTGCGTGTTTCTTACCCTTCATCGAGGTACAAAAATGTCGACGCCTACAGCAGCAGTTCGGTATCCGACGGCGCCAACTCACAGCATTACACAGTAGTAGTTCAAACACCCCGACTTTTAGAGGAACATAGCAGTAACATGAAGTACACCACGGAAGGCGCCCATAGGTAGACCGGCACGGATGTTGGAGGGTACAGTAGATACCGTAAGAGTCGGAGAGATGGCACCCCCGTGTTAGCGTTTTTGTATAGCGTATTTCTCCACAACCAGGAGGTTATGTACCACTGCCGAAAAGGGTGGTTTTGGAAACATCTCGTCGAGGGCTTTCCTAAGAGGTATCCGTTGGTGTTCGCACCCTCCTATTATAGTTGTGGAGAAATACGCTACAAAAAAACGCTAACACGGGGGTGCCATCTCTCCGACTCTTGCGGTACTGAGCAAAGACCGTAAGGTGCATTTTCATTTTTATCCTTTTGGAGACAACAACCACGACAACAGCACCTAACCCCCAACAGCATTCGTTCGTGTCCGGTCAATGCCTTCCACCACACGACAACGCTGGATGCCGTAGCATACCCGTGTGATTAAGTTATGGGGGGACAGCAGTGGGGGGACCGGTCGAATAGCGACCCCCTGTTTAGCTAAAATCGACAGCCCTGAAAGCAACCGCAATCATATTTCGCCCATCAATCACGATTGCACCCCCGACAGTTTCCGCTATTGATATCAGAAATAGGGACCCTTTCGGAACATTCCGAGCCCATCCCCTCCTGACACTAGGTGTAGGGGTCGCTTACAGCAGTTACCGCCCGAGATGGCAGTAGAAACAAATAGTTTCAGAAAGTTTTAGCTCCATATTTGTGAGCTCGGGTAAGCACCCCTACGCGAAGCCCACCGTATGTAGCGGTCATTCGCATGCATACTACTACTAGAGTATCATATAACAGCAGTAGAACCCTAGGAAATACGAACCGCGGCCTCCCACCAAAACGGGCGCCTACACTCACTGCCTGTAAACTGGTAGTGGTATGTGGTGGTGTATCGGCTCAACGGGAGGGAGATAAATCGGTCCGAGGAAAAGGTCGGCGGCACAAGGACAACGCCCGGCAAGGCGTT